TCCCGATATACTGGGAGGCAAAGTAAGCTCGTAATCAACCTCCTCAACTCGTCTCAACAACTCAAATGGACCTATAAACCTTGGGCTCAACTTGACCTTCTTCCCAAATCTCATGATTCCCTTCATCGGCGAAACCTTCAAAAGAACTTTCTCACCCACCATAAATGATAAATAACGTGCTTTCTGATCCGCGTAACTCTTTTGTCTAGACTGTGCTGTACGAAGTTGCTCTTGAATTAACTTTACCTTTTCCAAGGCATCCTTCACCAAATTAGTACCATATAACTTAATCTCACCGGGCTCAAACCATCCGATGGGCAAACTACATCGCCGACCATATAAAGAATCAAATGGAGCCATTTCGATGCTGGATTGGTAACTGTTGTTATAAGAAAACTCGGTCAAAGGCAAGAAATGATCCCACTGACCTCCAAAGTCAATCACACATGCCCTGAGCATATCCTCCAAAATTTGAACTGTCCGTTCAGACTTCCCATCGGTCTACGGATGAAAGGCTGTGCTGAGCTGTCCACGGGTCCCCTATTCACTCTGTGCTGTGCTCCAGAAATGTGAAGTAAATCGATGGCCTCTATCTAATATGATGTAAATTGGCACACCGTGCAACCGAACTATCTCTTGAATATAAATCTGGGTTAACCTCTCTGAAGTATACATAGTCACACTCGGAATGAAGTGTGCCGACTTGGTCAACCTGTCGTCAATGATCCAAACTGCATCAAACATCTGCAAGGTCCGCGACAACCCAACTACAAAGTCCATAGTAATGCGTTCCTATTTCCATTCCGGTATAGTCATCTGCTGAAGTAGTCCACCTGGCCTCTGATGCTCATATTTAACTTGTTGGCAGTTTAGACACCTAGCTACATACTCAACTATGTTCTTCTTCATTCGCAGCCACCAATAATGCTGTCTCAGGTCACGATACATCTTCATAGCACCTGGATGAATAGAATACCGAGAACTGTGTGCCTTCTCTAGGATCTTCTCCTTCAGTCCATCCACATTAGCAACACATAGATGATCCTGGAGTCGCAGATCACCATCTTCGCCGATAGTAACCTCCTTGGCACCACCTCATAGTACCATTTCTCAAAGAACCACTAAGTGTGGGTCGTCAAACTGACGAGCCTTGATCTGCTCAAATAGTGAAGACTGGGCTACAACACATGCAAGAACTCGACTGGGATCTGAAATATCCAATCTCACAAGTTTATTAGCCAAGGACTGAATATCCAAACTAATGGCCTTTCCACTCCTGAAATAAAAGCCAAACTACCAATACTCTCCGCCTTTCTACTTAAGGCGTCTGCAACTACATTTGTTTTGCCCGGATGATATAGGGTAGTAATATCATAATCTTTTAGTAACTTAAGCCATCTGCGCTGCCTCAAATTTAGGTCCCTGTCTTGAACAAATACTGCAAACTACGATGATCAGTGTAAAGCTCACAAGACACCCCATAAAGATAATGCCACCAAATATTAAGAGCGTGAACAATTGCAGCTAACTCCAAATCATGTACCAGGTAATTCTTCTCGTGGGGCTTCAACTGACATGAGGCATATGCAATAACTCGCCCCTCCTGTATTAGTACACAACCCATGACAACACGTGAAGTGTCGTAATACACTGTATACATCCTTGAACCGGATGGCAACACTAATACTGGTGTTGTACTTAATGTCATCTTCAGCTTCTGAAAGCTCACCTCACAATCATCAGACCATCGGAACAGAGCACTCTTCTGGGTTAATTTGGTCAATGGTGCTGCAATTGATGAAAAACCCTCCACAAACTGACGATAATAGCTTGCTAACCCTAGGAAACTCCTGATCTCAGTCGCCAAAGTGGGAGGATGCCAATTCTGAGCTGCCTCGATCTTTTAGTGATCAACTTTAATACCCTCGCCCGATACAATATGCCCCAAAAATGCTACATAATCTAGCCAAAACTCACATTTGGAGAACTTAGCATATAGCTTTTGTTACTGTAGCATCTGAAGCACCTCTCATATGCTGCTCGTGCTCCTCCTTACTGCGCGGGTAGATCAAAATGTCATCAACGAAAACAATGACAAACGAATCAATATATGGCCTAAATACCATGTTCATCAAATCCATAAATGTCGCCGGGGCATTAGTCAAACCGAAGAACATCACCCGAAACTCATAATGACTATATATTGTCCAGAAAGAGGTCTTCGGATCATCCGAATCCCGAATCTTCAACTGATGGTACCTCGACCTCAAGTCGATCTTAGAGAATACCCTAGCACCTTGCAACTGGTCAAATAGATCATCAATACGCAACAACGAGTACTTGTTATTAATGTGACTTTGCTTAATTGGCGATAATCAATACATATTCACATCGTTCCATACTTTTTCTTCACAAATAGTACCGTACCCCAAGGCGATACACTCGGTCTGATGAACCCTTTGGCTAGCAACTTCTCAAGTTGTTCTTTCAGCACCTTCAATTTTTTCGAAGCCATGCAATACGGTGGAATAGATATAGGCTAGGTATCTGGAGCCAAGTCAATACAGAAATCAATATCATGATTGGGTGGCATGCCTGGAAGATTTGAAGGAAATACATCAGAGAACTCCCGGACTACAGTCACTGAATCAACAGTCGGAGTCTCTGCAATAGAATCCCGAACATAGGCTAGATAAGCCAAACAACCCTTGTCGACCATGTGTCGAGCCTTCATAAAAGAAATAACATGATTAGATGCACTGATAGATAAACCCTTCAATTCCAATTTAGCCAATGCTGGAATCGCGAAGGTAACAGTCTTGGCATGGCAATCTATGATGGTATGATATGGAGATAATTAGTCCATGCCCAGGATGATCTCAAAGTTGGTCATCTCAACCAGCAGAAGATCTTCTCTAGTTTCATAATCACAGAATGTAATAATGCAGGACCGGTAGATCCGATCCACAACAACAGAATCGCCCACATGAGTGGACACATAAACAGGAGTACCCAAGGACTCACAAGAAACACCCAGGAAATGAGCAAATAGAGATGACACATAGGAATATGTAGACCCTGGATAAAATAATATGGAGGCATCTTTCGCGCAAACAGAAATAATACCTGTGATTACGACATCTAAGGCCTCTACATTAGGTCTAGCCGGAAAAGCAAAGAATTGAGCTGGAGTGCTAACTGGCTGGCATCCACCTGGCTGGCCTCCACCTCTAAGACGACCCCTACCTACCTGCCCTTTACCTCTGGGCGGCTGGACGATTGGTGGAGCAATTGGTGCAGTAATTATAGGCTGCTGACCTTGCTGCACTGTTCTACCCCGAAGCCTGGGGCAGAATCTTTGCACATGGCTAAAATCCCCGCACTTGAAACAACCCCTCGATGTGATGGGCTGCTGACCTAAAGTCTAGCCCTGGTGCCCTGAATACCCACTGGAAGAACCCTGAATAGCCGGTGAGCGGTAAGAACTCTCTGGCATAGTAGTGAAATAAGGTCACACTGGAGCACACCGAGGAGGCGGTGGTGCTGGATATGGGGGCCTGCTGGACTGCCCTCTCACGAATTGACCTCTACCCCCAGACGGAGCACCTCTTAACTCTTCAGAATATCTAAACCACTTATCTCTCATAACCTGCTCTCGGCTACGCTGACGCACACACTCAATCCTCCGGGCTATCTCCACAACCAACTCATAAGAAGTCCTCATCTCGACCTCTCGGGCCATAATGGCATGAATACCAATATGCAAACCCGCAAAAAGCCTTCTTAATCTATCTGCATTAGTAGGGAGTATCATAAGTGCATGGCGAAACAACTTAGAGAACCTCGCCTCATAATCGGTCACTGACATTTGACCCTGCTGGAGCTGCTCAAACTGAAACCGCAACTCTTCCCTCTGGGAAGGTGGAATATACCTATCCAGTAAAATATAGGTGAATCTGTCCCAAGTCATGGGAGGAGAATCTGTTGGTTTTCTAAGAATATAGGACTTCCACCACTTACGGGCCCCGCCCTCCAGCTGAAAAGTATCAAAGTCTACCCCATGAGACTCCAATATCCTCATGTTGTGCAGTCTGTCCCTGCACCGATCAATAAAGTCCTGAGGATCCTCATGTCGCTCACCTTCAAAGACAGGAGGATGTAGCCTAGTCCATCTGTTCAATAGCTTATGTGCCTCGGCGGCTGCAGCTGGTCTGGGATCAGGTGTAGTTGCTGCCACTGGTTGGGCTCCACCCATTGGTAGTGCACCCTAGGTCTTATATATAGAAGCTGCCAGCCCATGAGCATGTGCGGTAGGGGTATGTGCTCCCCCGCTTGCCTGATATGTGGCTGGGTCTTCCGAAAATAAACCGGCCAGAGTCATAGTGTCCATGAATCACAGCATACTGCCCATGACCTCCTAAAATCCTGGTGCAGAGGTGAATTCCACCAGAGCTGGTTCTGTTGCGGGCACCTCGCCCTGCTCGTCGATAATAGGATCCTCTACTGGATCCACTAGTGGTATAACTGGGATAACTCTAGGATGTCCTCGTCCCCTACCACGGGCTGGATCCCTCCCTCGGCCTCTGCCTCGGCCTCTAACAACTAGGGGAGCAGCTCTTCCCTGGTCTGGAACCTTATTAGAGCACGTTCTCACTATCTGTGAGAGAATAATAGAAAGAAACTTAGTATTACATCAACTGCACAATAGAATATGAATAAAGGTAGTTTCCTAGCACCCTATAGCCTCTCGAAGATAAGTACAAATGTCTGTATCGACCTATAAGACTCTATTAGGCATGCTCATAACTTGTGAAACCTACGTGAACCTAGTGCTTTGATACCATGTTGTCACGACCCAGTTTCACCTATAGGTCATGATGGCACCAAACCTCACATCTAGGCAAGCCAACTAGTAAATTAAACATATATTATTTCCTTTAATAATTATCCGAGTAATTAAACTCTTCTTACTTGCAAGAATTACGAGAATATGAAAGAACTAATTAAATGAAAACCAAGATAATAATTCAAACCCCATTTCTACAAGTGTGTGCCAAGACCTGGTGTCACAAGTGTATGAGCATCTAGTTGATTTTTCAAAAGAAATCCAAAATACTGTCTGAACACAAAATAGACAGAAACAAATACAAAAGGAGACACTAGGTGCTGCAGAATGACTCAGAAGAAGCATCTCACCACTAGGCCTTAGGATAGCGTGGGTGCGCATCGGTAGGTCTTCCTATGATCCCTGTCTTAGATCCTGTACAAAAAGTGCAAAAAGTGTAGCATGAGTACGTAAACAACGTGTACCCAGTAAGTATCAAGCCTAATCTCGAAGAAGTAGTGACGAGAGGTCGACTTTGACACTCACTAAGGGTCAATAATATTATAATAGACATGATTTATGTGAACAACAATAATTTTCTTTAACAAGCAGAAATAATTAATTATTACAATTTCAATAATTTCTAATTTATCAATTAGCTTCACAAGCTGCAATAGAATGTCAAGGTATCGTGTAATTATTAGTATTAGGCACTATTTCTGCCGAGGTCGTTCGGCCCGGTCCAGAGTGTCGTGTATACTGACGAGGGATGTGTGACACGATCCATAGATGCATCTATGCTGCCGAGGCATTCGTCCCGCTCCACAAGAAAGGAGGACATTTTCTTATGAATCTCCGGAATGAGAAGTTATTATAAGGCTAACATATAAGGACATGGAATTTCTATTAACAGTCAAGTAATTTATACAAAATTCAAGTATATGAGGTCATTTACTATCTCCTCTAAGAGTTTTCAATATAATTCCAGCATTTTAAATAAACAAAGGATGCAATTATCACAAGTAATTCATGATTTGAATCCTAAACTACCCGGACATGGCATAATTAGTAGCTACGCACGGACTCTCGTCACCTTGTGCATATGTAGCCCCCCACAATTAGCAACAATTATTAATTTAAATTACATATAGGGTAAATTTCCTCTTACAAGGTTAGACAAGAGACTTACCTTGTCTTAAAGTCCACTTTTCGATCACAATGTCGCGTTAAAGTCTGAAATTCTGAAATTATCCAAATGTTATACAAAATAATTAATACATGCTCAATAATTCGAAATTAGACTATTAAATTAATTACCCATCCAAAATGGTAAAATTCCTAAAGTTCACCCCGAGCCCACGTGCCCGGATTCCAGAAATATTTGGAGGGAAACATTACCCATAATCTCAAGAACTTAAATATACAATTTTCATCCAATTTCATAACCATTTTCGTGGTTAAAATCTCATTTTTATAAAAATCTAGGTTTTTCATCTAAACCCCTGATTTCCACGATTTGCATGTTATAATCTACCCATAATCTATATATTTAACTCAAAGTGTGTAGAATTAAATTACCTTCAAGTTGCTAGTTGAAATCCCCTCTCAAAAAGCTCCAAAATCGCCCAAAAATGGAGGAAAATGGGCTAAAATGGCTGTTTTCCCGTTCCTTTAAACGTTCTGCCCAAATAGCCCTCTCGCTTCTGCGGCTCGCAAGCTGCTTCCGCAGCTCTGCATCTGCGGAAAATACCTTGCATCGGCTCTCCTTCTTAGTCGGCTCGCCCATTTGTGCGGTCAGCGGCTCGCACCTGCGAGACCGCTTCTGCGGTGCATGCGCCGCACCTGCGTTGGCTCTTGCTTCTGCGGACTATGGACCCCTCCTGCGGTCGTGCATCTGCCACCAGCTCATCCATACCTGCGACTTCTGCTCTGCCAACACTTGGCCGCTTCTGTGAGCTTTGGGCTCGCTTATGTGAGCTCGCACCTGCAGCTAGCCCTCCACAGCTGCGATTACACCAGAAGCCTGGTGCAACAGCTACTCTTCAAAAAATCTAAAATTGGTTCGAGCATCGTCCGGTTAACACCCGAGGCCCCCGGGGCTCTGCCCGAATATACCAACAAGTTTGAAATTATAAAACGGACTCGCTCGAACCCTCGAAATGCATAACACAACATCAAAACTAAGAATCATACCCCAAACCAAATTGATTTAACTTAGAAATTTCAAAATTTTCAAACTTACTCCGAACGTGCCGAAACATACTTAAACTACTAGGAACGACACCAAATTTTACGTGCAATTCTTAAATCACCATACAGAACTATTCCCAAGCTCGGAATTCCAAACGGGCCTCGATTACTCCAAAACCTACTCCAAACCAAATTTAAAGATTCTTAAAAACTTTAAATAGCTATTTTTCACTATTAAGCGCCGAAACGCTCCCGATTTGTCCAGAATCTGATTCGAACGTATGCCCATCATCATACAAACCTATTGGAACCGTCAAATCTAGATTCTGGGATCGTTTTCTAAAAATGTTGACCGAAGTCAAACTTGACATTTTTAAAGCCAACTAAGGAACCAAATGTTCATATTTCAACCCGAACACTTCCAAATCCAGAACTAACCATCCCCATAAAACAGTAAAAGCAGATGTGGAGAGTCTTATTTAGGGGAACGGGGTTCTAAAAGGCAAAACGACTGATAGGGTCATTACAGGGGGGTGAATCGCGCAAGGAAAATTGCTAGATGCATGATGTAGTACACTTTATGGATATATTCAAATTTTTGAATGATTCAGGTATGTTGTTCATTATGGATGTAGTGTGCTAAAAGAAGGGGTTCATTTGGTTGCGTTAAGGTAGGGGTTACTTCTTTGGGTGTTGTGCGCTAAAGGAGCACAAGTCATTCGTATCATATTGGTGGTGCATTAGAGATTCAGCATAGTGGATAACTCTCCAGAAAGTTCTAGTGAGTTCTAGATTTATATGTGGTATTTGAAGATTTTCCCCGGATTTTGTATATGGCTAAGATATGAGATTTGTATTGGTTGGTGTCAAGACTTGCAGTATTTATGTATCATTATGGATTCTACATTCCAGTATCAGAGAGGTTAAAAGGAAATAGATTCAGATTCATGAAAGGTCTTTTTAGAGTGGGAAGTTTGGTTATGGTACTATTGGGTGCTTACGATAGAATACAGGGGCTTATGGGCCTTAAGACGACGTGGTTTCATGATAGTATCTCTTGTTGTGAGCTTTGGGTTAAGGGTCATAGTGTACTGGCAAGGAGAAGTGTCAACTTGAAGGCAAGTTGAGAGGAACTCGAAGAAATGGGTCAGCTTGGTAGTGGTTCGGGTTTGCATGGTAAATAAAATGACTGGTTCTTTTGGTGTGGCGAGGCTTCATAGGTGCGTTTTGCCAATGCTCTTGGGTTTGGCGATCTGCGTGACTTGGTTGAGTTGGAGGGATTCAGTTCTGATGACTTGGTTGTGTGCAAATGGGTTTCGAAGAGTTCCTGATGGTGTCGACTACGGCTTGAGGAGGATGCCTTCTACAAGTGTGAGGAGTATGTTACGTTTTGTGATCTTCTCCTGGATGAGGTCCGGTGGAAGGTTGTTGGCTAGTGGGGTATGTATCTTGCTTGTGATTCAGAGTTCCTAATGGGGTTATCGTATTTTCGTATGATAGCATGATAGACGCAGTGTGACGTGTGGGATTGAGTCATGCATGTACGAGTTGCAGTTTAATTTTGAAGGGAAGGTCATGGGTTCTAGGTAGCACGGACAATTTCAGATGTTTAGAAGAATGCTGGCACTATCTGGTATTACCTGATAAGGGTACGTATTTCAGAAGGAGCATTATGTTTTGACTTGTACATGCTTAACTTGTATTACGGTAATCGCCTGGTTGACCAACTGCTGATGTTCAGATTTCACTATGTGGCACAGAAGAATTATAGGAGTATTCCTTATGAGATGATTGTGTGTTAGAGATGTGTCAGTCATTTGAAGGGTGGAGTTGGGATCAGATATTGGGATTCTTGTACTCTAGGGACCGAAAATTGGTTTAAATCTCGGCTACTATTTAAATATGCAAAATTTATTAATACAATAATTTATAAAAATGATTAATAAATAAATAAAATATTATTTATGCACTAAAATAATTAAAAATAATGATTTAGCCTTATAAAAATATAAAATACTATTTTGACACAAATAACATAAATAAAAAGCAATTATGGATGAGTATAGGCTATTACTGTAAAATTATGCAAATAGCTTAAAAAATGCTAATGTAATTATATAAAATGAAGTAAAAATATTTGAAACATGTATTATAGGTGCAAATAATAATTTTAGGTAACTAAGTCATCACAAAATAATTTGAAGGAGTAATTAATAATTATAATTTAAGTACAGAAAAATTAATTTAAAAGCTCTAAAAATTATAAAAAATTATAGAAAATACTCGTATAGATTTATAAGCTAAATAATGATGCAAAAATGATGTTTTGAAGGTATATATACTATTTTAGAAAATATGAGGGCAAAATTGGGTATCAAAACCTATAAGAGTAGATCCCAATAGAGTATATAATGTACCCGATCTGCGTGTTTTCATGATCACAAGAGCATCATGAGAAATTTTCAGAACTCCACCTTCACCTGTGTACTTGCACCCAAGAGACTCTAGAATGCCCAAAGAGATGAGATTTTTCTTCAAGTCAAGAACATGTCTAACATCGGTAAAAGTTCTTACCACACCATNATGATTTAGTGTCCGATTATGGTTAAGCTTCAGTCATTAACTTTGACGTCTAATATGATAGCGTTCAAGGTGCAGTTCAGATTGCCACATTCGATCTGTTGTGGAATTTACTCACTTTTACTGGTGTAACTTTCTATGTAATGAATTTGGGTATTGCCCTTTGATTAATTTACTTTTCACCTGATCACAAGCTGATGGAATTTAGGGTTCTCAGAGGCAGATTATTCCTTGGTTGTGGATGGTGAAGGTATGTGGAGAGGTTGACGACTGAGTGAATGTATTATGGATAGATTATTGTGGACTTTTTGGAGGTTATCTATCTATTTCGGGAGGATCAGAATTGATTTGAAGGCCACTGGTAGGCCTAAGGAGATTGTGTATTACATATTGGGTCGAATGTGTTTACGCAACACGACTATTGTTGAGGGGTGTGTCATTCGGTGAGAGTTGATCTTATTTTTGTCTTATGTGTTCCATGTGTTACTCTTCCATGCTACGATAGGTTGTGAGACTGTGGACTATTTACGCATATGATGCGGTTTTGTTTGGGCCTTGTGGCAAAATTAGAGCGAGGTGGCACTTGGAGCGTTGAATGGCTGATTGCGCCTTGGTTATGGTCTTCCTGTTGGTGGAATAGTGTGCTATTTGTTTCTCCATGGTTATGGTCATGCACTTTGTGTGTTTGTTGTCAATATGCATATGGTTATTGATTTTGAGCGTCATGGCTCGAGGTAATCCATATTGACTGGTGTTCGGATTGGGTCACGCATCGTAGTAGAGTTATGTTGGAATATGATCCTTTGTTCTTATTTTTTGTGTTTTGCTTCTCTTCCCTAAGATGGGTTCATAACAGTGTGCTTTGTGGTGGTATATGTTGAGCTTGTAGGACAGTTCTCTCATTTGATTCTCTTTCCATCATTGGGTGCAATCGAGTTGTCTCTTGTTTGGTGCATAGATTGCACGATATGTGGATCTAGGTAGTATTGGTATGGCATGTCGGTAGAGCAACTTGTATTGGATGATGTGAGGTTATTGGACCTGAAATGAGTGCCATCAGATTTGATTAAGATATGTTCGAAAGAATAATATCACTAGTCAGCTTAGATTTTGGGTATGGTTCTTGTCGGGCAAGAGAGCTCCACGAGTTGTTGCTGTGATGGGTGGTTATGAGTTCCTGTGTGTGTCTTTCATCATTGGCAGTGTACAAAGATTTAAAACAAGTTTTTAATTGATATAAGGTTAGTTACATGTATCGAGTTTGTAATTGGGCAGGTATTTTGGTCGGAATTTATTGCTACGAGTATATGAGTTATGTGAAATATCATGTGATTATATTTGGAATATTGTTATGTCTTGATACAGCTTGTTCAGACTAATATAGTGTATGGGTGCGAGAATCGGGTCTTATAATGAATTTCGGATGTTGAAGATTGGTTTTCGAGGTTTGTGGGCGAAGGTTGAAGTAAGGATCTTCCGTTAGGTTGTATTGTCAGGCTATAAATGTGCGGACCGTATAATAGAAATGCGATGGACAACTGGGCAACTTTACATTCAATTATGCGATGGAGTTGCAGTTATGCGGGTCGCGAAAGTCTTCTATGACCCGTTCTGCGATCGCAGATGTGATCCACAGGGGTATATTTGTCCAATTTTGACCCCGACTTTTAGCATATTATAAATAGAATAACTAGGATTTTTTAGGGACAGCTAGTCTGACAGAGAGAGGATACACCTAGGACATTGAATGCACCATTATTTTGGAAGCGTGTGTGATAAAATCCAAGACATTTTCTATAATTGTAAACTTCATGAGTTTATTTATTACGTTGTTGTTGTATTCTAGTATGAGTAGCTAAGTTTAAATACTAACGTTGTGAATCCTATGTGGGTGTAATGTTAATGTGTGTTCATCATTGAATGTTTATATAATGGAAAGTTAATTTCTATTCATTTCTCATGCGTCATTTGTAGTTGATGGTTGCAAACATGGACTAGTGCCAATTCATTCTATCTTTACTTGGGAAAGTGGGATAGAATTTGGTAGATTTGAATAGCAAGAACTCAAGGCTCTAAACCCTATTTAATAGAATCTCTTGGGAATAAGTGGATTCTACTTGGCATAAATTAGTCGTTCTTAATTATCACATATTTTATATTTGGGAAAATCATAAAGAGGAACTACTATCTAATTGTTGGAAAATATTAGTTTGTAACCTAGAAATCATTTGCATATCAACGAGCTTCCTATTTAACAATATGAAATATAGACACCGTTAGCATTACATTCCATTAATGGAGATACAATCTTCGTTTCTTAAT